TTTTTTCCCTATGTTTATCTATACGATTATTGACCTATCCCGACTTTCGTAAAAAAACTTTTTCTCTCATAATCAAACAAAACCTCAGTTATTACATACCATTCGATAGAGAATTTCACGGGCTACAAAATGGTATATAAAACATTAAGAAAAAAGATGACTAAGTCACTATTGCAAAGATACTTAAACGGAAATTGCTTCTGTGTTTTTACTTTTTGAAGTACCCATAACCCTCGGCTTTAAATTCGTGGGTTCCCCCTTTTTTTTTACGTAATTTCAGATGTGTTTTTGTTGTTTATTTATTTAAGTAGATTGTATAATATTTCGTATGAAATAAAGTTTGAAATTGATTATACGTGATAATGGTAGCCGCGTGTGTTATACTTATAAACGGCTGCCGGCCGGGTACCCGGTCGAGTTATTCGGGTCCGGTTTGGGTTCGGGTACGGAGTTGTCGGGCCGGTTCGGACTCGGGTACGGAAAAAAAGCTCCGGTTCGGTTTCGGGTGGCAAAAAGTGCACTCGTGCAGCACTCTACATGAAACACAAAATTTTTACCTTGTACAATACCCAACAGGCGGCGACGTTCTTCTGTAATAACTCGATCAAATTGATAACCAATTAATGAAAGCATAATTGTTTTCGAACCATATTGACATTCAACAGGATCATGATCTTTACCAGAATAAACAACCATACGAACACTAAATAACATTTCATTTTTCTAACTTAAAACAAAAAAAAAATTTTTTTTTCCGTACCGATAACATCTCGCAAGTGCTTCCACTTCAAGCATACCACCTGGTGTCTATAAGAAGAAGAAAAAAAAACAAGACATTTAGATTTAAAGAATTCAATCAGCTTACAGTTGGATCTTTTAAATGAGTTAAATATTTTGATAATGGCATTGTAATTAACTAAAAAAAATCTTTATAATTAGTAATTAAAAAAAAATAAAATAAAAATTTTCTTACTGGACTATATTCATTAGCATTCAATTCCATATATTCAATACATTTTAATCGAACATCATAATGATGAACTTGAGTCGAGAATAACTAAAAATAAAACTAAAAATAAAAACAAACAAAATTTCTTTTTTATTTATATTTCCTCACATCTTCTGATACAGCACGAAACAAACTTGATCCATCTAAACACAAAAAAAGACAACATTATAAAATAACAAAAACAAATATTTTCTTGTTTTTTTTCTTTAAACCTTGTGGAATACGTTTTCTCCAAAGTCCATGATGTTCAAGATATCTATCCATAGATGTATCAAGACTACCAATAGTATGTTCTTCTTGTTCATCATCCATATCTCGATGTTCTTGGCGTTCCATTATTAAATTGAATTACTTATTTTTATTTATTTATTATTTTTTCAAAGACAATACCACCGCTACACATCAACAGCGAACAAACGATAGATAGAAAAGAAATAAATAGAATTTTCTTTTCGTCCGAATAACACTTACATACACTATTTATATCGATATTTTTCTTTTCATTTTCTACATTGATCTATAGTTATATAACCTCGACCGATATATTTATGCCATGTGACCAATGTGATCTTACTATTTTATATAGAGAAATAAATAGATTTTGTTTTTCGTTCGTTCATTTCTTATGTTAAAACTTGACTGATATATAACTATAACTATTCAATAAAGGACGTACGATAAAGGTTAATCAAGTTCGAAAAGAAAGAAACATTCAATATTAAAGTCCAAATGAGCAATATATTCTCTGAAGATTATATTTCAAAATAAAATATATCTTTTGAAGTCTATACAAGAAAACAAAAAATATGAATAATTCATTAGAAATTTAAACAATTCACATGAAAAATATTTTCCATTGGAAATTACTATATTTAACTATTAAACATAAAATTATTCCATTCAAAACTTAATAAAAAAAAATTATTTCGTTTAATCTGATATAATATTATTTAAACTTCTGACATTTTTTGTTTCACTATCATTTGTATATTAGTGAATTAAGTGCTAATTACTCCCATAGCCATAGAATGATTGTTTCGAAACTCTGCGTTCTACTATGAACAGCTATATGAATATTTTGTTTTTGTTGAACAAGAATTTCCAATGAACTTTTTAATACCCTAGCTGTTGACATAGAGCGAAAAATCTATAAACATGGATACTGTAAAGTAACATAGTGGTCTATTCGAGATGAAATGTCGAATATACATATGGAAATAGAAATGTATTCTTCACGTTTGATAAAATATCTCGATGAGTGATAACCACAAAATTCTACGCAACTGTAGCTCTAATCAATATGATGGAAATGAGAAGACTGATAGGATTGATTTACAATGAAAAAAAGACTATTTTCGTTGTTTAAAACGTTGTAATCGGATATAAGCAGTCATTTTGGGTCTGATTCCCAATCAGAAAAAAATGATGATCTTGGTCTCAATCAAAAAATTTATTTAGTTTGGATCTTGCTCAAAAAAAATTTTGGTCCTAGTCCCGGTAAGAAAAAAAATATTAGTCCGGTTCCAAACACAAAAATATTTTGATCTCATGAGGGAACATTCCCAAGTGATCTGCTCCCTTTTGATTCATTCATACCTCATTCGATAGAGTATATTGAGATAAGAAAAAGCTTAACAAGTATTCGTGCCCATGGTCTACTGGCGAAGATTTATGGTCATTTTTCTGTGAGCCAGGCATTTCGCGAAAAACCAAAATGAAGAATTTCGACCTGAAATTTTACCTATAGATAGATTTAATAGTCGTTAGATAGTCCTGAAAGTTTCAACGACAACGAACCTGTCTTTCTCGAGATATTGAATGTCCAACTAAACTGGATTATTGTGCCCTCCTATGGTAAACAGGTGGTTTTTTGAAAATTGAATAACTTGAGAAAGACATGTTCATTTTCGTTGAAACTTTCAAGACTATCTAATGACTATTAAATCTATCTATAAGTAAAATTTCAGGTCGAAATTCTTCATTTTGGTTTTTCGCGAAATGCCTGGCTCACAGTAAAACGGTCATAACTCTTCATCAGTAGACCATGGGCACGAATTCTTTTAGGCTTTTTCTTATCTCAATATACTGTTTCGAATGGGATGTGAATGAGTCAAAATGGAGCGGATCACTTGGGAATATTCCCTCGTCAGTTGCGAGACTATCTTGCCGCCAATATGTAATTAGAGAAGCGTTTTTTACAGGTAAAAGATTTTGAACAATTGTTAATCGTATTTTTCTTCTCGTTTATTTATTTTATTTTTCAAACATAAAATAAAACATTTTCCAATAAGATAAACATATTTTATTTGAATAAATGTTAATAATAAAAATGTCTTATATCCAATATTGAAATAATCAATTGGAATGTACATGTCATCGACAATGATTAATTACTAAATTAAAGAAAAAGAAAACAAAAACAAAAACAATTAAAATTCTTATAATTTTTCTGCATAATGTTTCGCATATTTTTTCATGCGACGTTTAGATGTCGGATCAAAATATTTCAAATAATTCTCAATATTCGATTGATTAGAATTTTTTTTCTGATCATTTTTTATTAATTGTTTATGACGTTGATATTTTTTTCTAAAACGTCTTATAATAAGTTTAACACGTTTCCATTCGATTTGTTTTGAAAAAATTTTTGGTATATTTATTGAATCAGTTGGATTTATATCAAGAATAAATCCTGTTCTATAACGTTTACTTCCATCAGGATTTATTGTTTGAAATACATTTGAATTAGCCATTGATGGTATAACAGTGTCATTTGTAAATTTATTTTCAATTCGATTAAGTTCATCATGTAATAATTTATTTGAATTTTCATCATGAACATCTTCAAGATAAAGTAATATTGTAATTAAACAAGTAAAACGTGTAGATAAATCCAACTTATGATTATTTGGAAAAACATTAAAAAATGTATCCGATGAATTTGTTGTTATCGGTGTTGTTGTTTCAACACGTGTATCACTTATATTATTATCAAGACAATGAACATTAGGTAGTGTTGCTCGTCTTATAAGCCATGGTCGTATATATAATTCACGTGCAGAAAAAAGTTGACTGTGAGAAAGATATTGTGGACGATCAATTTGTTCATCATTCAATGATACTGATGATGATGAACTTAAATCAAATTTACTATCAACTGTTAAACTACGACGTGGTTTTGTTTTCCATCGACTAGAATCATTACCGTCAACATATCGACCAGCAATTAATGTATGTTGAGATTCATTTTCTGTATTTAGAGGCATTGTTGATATTAAAGGATCATTTAATAATGTACTCGATGCCGCAGATTCGGCTAAAGGATAGTAAAAAATTAAATTAGTCGTGTTTTTTTTTTTTTTTTTTTTTTTGATAAATTAAACAAAAAGAAATTATTTAAGATGAACTTCATGCAAAGAATTTATATGAAATACCCCGAAAATCTGGAGTTTCTTCTTGATTAACTGTGCCATTAGATGGTACAAATGTATTCGCTTGAAATAATAAACTCTTACCATGTCCACCGCCATTATTATAAAATGAAAAACGTCGTTGTTGTTGTTGTTGCTGTGGTGGTGGTGGTGGTGGTGGTGGTGGAGGTTTGTTATGATAAACAGTTGTTGTTGTTGCTGTTAGAACAGCATTTTCAACAATATTTGATGCTATTTCATTTGCATATTGTTCAATTACATTGGGAACAATAGATGAATCAATTTCTTCAATACCCATATTAATAGATTTTGCTTCTAGTGGACTTATTAATTTTTGATCACTAATTGTAGATTTTGTAAATGATTTAGGTTGAAAAATCATATTCGATTTATTAGGTATTGATGTTGTTTCAAACATTGAAACAAGACTTCGAACTGAATGAGTAGGAGGAGATTTTTTTTCTGATATTTCTTCGTGAACTAAAGGTTCTTTTGGTGTTGATGAAGATAAAACATGTTTTAATTCATTCATAAGCGAATTTCTCTTATTATGAATATTACTATCTTGATTGACTTTAGAATCTAATTGTGTTAAATTAGTTGGATGTTTAGGTTTTTTATCTTTAATTTCTTCTATATAATATTGAGTTGAAATATCTTCGACTGGAATTGGACTAAATTGCGTTGAAGCATTTGTATGTTTTATTTTCATATCATTAATTATTCGAGATTTCAAAGTTGGTGATGGTGAAATATTTTCGATGGAAGTCGGACTAAATTGAGTAGATGCATTGACATACATTTGTTCATCATATATATTTGTTCTTGATTTTGGTTGATAGAAAAGATTCATATTATTTTTATTATCATCTATTGGTATTGGACTAAATTGTGTTGAAATATCGTTTAAACTATTTTTCTTATTTTCTAGAGTTTGTGTTGAAACATCAATATTATCATCATTATAATATTTATCGTCTATTTTCTTCGATTTTAATTCTGTTAAATTTTTATCTCTCATTGGACTATATTGTGTTGAAACATTACAATGTAATTGTCTTAGACTTATAATTGGACTTGATTGTGTTGATACATTTGTTGTTGGTTTAATATGTGTAAAAATTCTTAGAGGTTTTTCTACATATGATTGAGTGCCTGTGTCTTGTTGATGTGGTCTATTTAATTTTTGTATATCATGACAGATTGTTTCAAGTTGTGATGTATTACCAGTAAAACGTCTTATATATGGTAATGAATGATCATAATAAATACATGTTGAACGATGATGATTATCATAACAAGTACAACGATGATGATGTCTTGTTGATGAAAGTATATCAAAAATAATTGATTTTAAATTATTTGTTTCATATGGTCTTGATTGTGATAAAATTTCAGTAAGAATAGATTCAAGATTATTAGTTGAAAGTTCACTAGCTTGATTACGTTCAGCAAGTGAATATAATTGTTCTAAACGTGCTAATTCTTCAGCATGAATATCTGTATCACCAGAAATAGCATTACGTCGATTTCTTGGTCGTTGTAAAAAAAGATTATTAACTAATGCAAATGTATTCCATAATGTTCCAATAACAAATTTTGATGTATTTTCATTACGAAATGTTGTTGATACATATGTATCATCATCATTATTTAATCTTGGTGTACCTGTTAAACGCATTAATGTTCCAAGACTAGAATCAAATAATGTTGAACGACGTATAATTGGTTTTAATGTTTGACTATTAGTAATAGATGATTGACGATGAGGTTTTAATGGCGACATTGAAACAGATCGTTGAAAATTACGTTGAGGATTTTGAGAGAAGCTTGTTGATCGTGAAGCAGGATTATTATTTTGTGAAATTAAATCATCAATAGTTGTACCTCGACGTTCCATTGATGTTGAATGTGTTCGAGATAAAACAGGATAAACATAAAATTCTTGTTGATAATTATTAATTATTTCTTCGAGATAATTATCAGTATCCTCATTACTCTCATAACCAGAATCATTTCTTTCGCGATAAGAATAACGACTGATTTTTGCTGCTGATCGAACTGATTTTACCAATCTAGATATAAAACATAAGGCATTCAGTTCGAATCAGCAGCAATTCAGTTTTAAATTAAAGCAAAAACAAAAAAGATCAATAATTAAAAATAAACTTACATTGGAGTTTCTTCATATTCAAGACCTTTCATTGTTTTCATTAATGGTAATGTAACTTTTTTTGGTGCATTCGAATAGAATGGTATGAATGGAACGGCTGCCATTAGAAGAGATCCAACTAAAAAGAGTTAATTAAAGAAATTAAAAATTAAAATAAATTTTTTTTTATTATTTACGAATAACAGCTATCCATAATGGTAAATATGGAACTATTTTATCGAACCAATAATATTTGTCAGCAGCTTCAGCAAACGTACAATTAGGACAAAAGTCAGGTGTTGATTTAAAATATGTATCAAGATAAATTGCTTGTTGATAACCAGAACATACTTTACGAGCAAATGAATCCACTAAAAATATTTCATTTTCTATAAAGAAATTCTCAATCAATTTAAAAAAAAAATACTGGTTTATAATAAAAGTTTGTATTTATAATAGACTCAATAGTATATGAGGTACAAGTTCCTTTAAGTATTTACCGAAAGGTCCTATAATGTGACTAATCAAATTACGCTAAAATTATTAGTGCATGAATAGTAAGTAATAATTTGTCGACCATGATAAATTCTTTTACTGTAGACATTAGATATGAGCAAAATGGTCCCGATCCCGTCACCATCTTTTTTCCGTCGAGAGCACGATTTTGGACCAATTAATTTTTCAATAGATAGAGTTAAGGCTATAAATAAAATCAGTATATAAGTGAAAGAACAATTTACTATACATATGGAAAGTGATAACAGATATTTTTTTTTCTGAAAAATGTTCAAAATATGAAACCGAGTATGATATTCTAGAAAAGATCATGTAAAATACGAGTGGAACGTCCTAACTAAAAAAGTCGAAACTTGAATTTCTTATTTTTGAGACAGTAGGTAGGAATTCGCTGTCGGAGTCGTATGGGCATTACTAGAATATTCTTTGGTGTTTTCTATGACTTATTTTATATTTTATACTGTTTCTTTATACGTCAATACTACTTTTAGATTGTGTTTCGCAAAAATGTTACATTTCTAAGTATATAAATATATCGAACAACTTATGTTTCTGAAACGTTCTCTTTAGATATTAATCTTACTAATCAATGATTGATTAATACAAAAGATTTCCAAAGCATTATTCAATGTTGTATAATTCTCATTAGACATTTGAACAGCAACTGATATTAATTGTGCTCGATTATATTTCTCTGGGCCAAGTATTCTTGTGTCTGGTAAAACAATATTTTCAGTTAATAATAAACTATTGTTAATAAAATCTTGAAATTTTATTGGAAAATTTTCATTATTAACAACATCAGTATTTTTATCATCATTTAAATAATCAAATACAAAATATTGAAGTTCATCTCTTGAAATACATGTAAAAAAACTAAACAAGTAAAAAAAAAAGAAAGAAAGAATTCTTGATCTTTATCTTTTCTTGTTTGTTACAATAGCAGAAATCAACATACTTAGTAAGATTATTATAAATTGGAATGCATATATGTGTTGATGGACAAGAAGATTTATTTACTTGACAAATATCAATCGGTATTTCACAAAAAATACCAGAATAATTTGGCAAACATTGACATGAGAAATTTCCTTCTGAAGATAATTGATGACATATACCATTATGCATACACGGATTATATGCACATGAATCAACTTCTTGACAATCTATACCTGTATAACCACCTGTACATAAACAATATGAAAAACTAAAAAATAAAATAAAAATTTCAATCACTTAAGAAAATTTTTCATAAGAAGAAAAATATATTTCTTTACGTTTGATTAAGATAAATACATGTACCATTACCACAATCTTTATTAGAACATGGATCTATTATTGTTGGATAAATAATTCTTAAAGGAAAAGTTGTTGTTAATATAGTACCATTTGTTTCATCAATTAATGCAACTTTAAATTGTAATTCTGTTCCATTATTAGTTAAAGAAAATGTATTAATTGGTCTTTTAAGTATTAAACTATTTTGATCTGAATTTAATTCAAGACCATTATTATATGTATCAATTAATTGTAATCGACAGAGTGTTGTTGTATTGTTTATAGTAAAATTTCCAATAATTGTATTTGGATTTGTATTATTTGATATTGATGATTGACTAAAAGTGATTGTTGGTGTCGATGAATTGACAATAATAGGTATACTAAATGTTTTTTGAATAAGACGTGTTGGTTTATTTGCTGTTGTTTCAAGTGCTTGAACTATTAAATTAACACTTGGATTATCAAATTTTAATGTATCAGATGGATATTGACCAATTTGAATAAGACTACGATTTGGTAAAACCTAAAAAAAATATATATACAGTTAAATCTCCTATTATAGACATTTCGCGGTCGGACGAAATGATTTTTGCTGAAAATGAATCTTTCTTCAGTAGACATCATCATATAGATCTATAGTAAACACTTTTGAAAAGTTCGAAGAGTATCCACTATAGAGAAGTCATACTGTATATAATTAAATTTTTCCACAATAAGAAAAATCTTTTATGTTATAAATATATTTACTTGAAATAAATCTTGATTATTTACTAATGAAAGATTATATGTTCGATTTGTTGGTGTTGTTGTTAATTCAATAAGATTAAATGTGCCCAATATAGTATCATTATTGATGTTATTTGTTGTATAAAATGTTTTTGTTTGATTAAAGTTTATCTGTATTGTGGGTGGAGCCGGTAAAACATCGATAACAATGTCCTAATCCACATAAATTATATCACTTTGTTTTATTTAATAAAGCAACTTACTTGATCTACATTTGTATCATTTGCAATTTGACATTTTACATTAATGATAATAGCTGGATGAGTTGTTGAATTTAAAGTATAATTATCTGGTAAAACAATAATAAATGCTGGTTGATTTGTATTTGTTGTATTCACTATAAATGAATAATCTTGATCATCTATAGCAGTACATGTTGGAAAATATGATAAGGAATTATTCAATAATGAAGTACGTAAAAGACCACGAACAATTGGAGTATTTGATGGTGTTGTTTCGTAAATACGAATGTGTAATGCTTGAAGTAAAGATGTATTCTAGAAAAATTAAGAATAAAATATAGTTTTTGACTTTTTCTTTATTATTCATAAACTCTTTGAATATTGAAAAAGTATCATTTTTTTTTCTTAAATCGCTCGACTTATTTTTCAAGAGATTTGTATAAAAATATCTCGAATCTTTTATTAACTTTGATTATTTATTTACGGTTCTGAACGAAAATAGCAGCTTCCCATGAACTGCTACTATTCTTTTATCATATTGAACTAATATTTTGAATGCATACATGCATGTGTCAATAAACCTTAATTACAAACACCAATCTGCCCTTCATCAGTTCATGTATACTGAAATAATGGTTCACACATTTTCTTTTCCTTGTGAACAGTGTTTATTGAGTGCAAAATTTTCGAACCTAAACCCCGGTAGACTTTACTTGTGAGAAATGTATTCAGCGGAAATATGTACTCAAAAAGTTTTTGCTTATCACTTTCCTATTCCACAAGTTACTAATAGTTTTTTTCTTAGCACTAAGAACAATTCTATATGCCTGCATTATCATCATCAAAATCTGTGAAACATAGTCAAGATCATAGTAATTAGCACGACCTGAATAAGTGAATCCAAATCATAGCGCTAACTCAACTTCATTTAGTGTTGCGGCTATAAAACCTTCAGAAGAGAGTCGTTACTTGATGGAAACTATCTATACAGAAAACTTTTCAAATGAATTAATCAAAGTCATCATGAAAAGAATCTATGTTTTTATAAACTAGTATTTTCTCTTCAACAGATATTTTCAATGAGACGACAATATTTCAATTATTTCAAAGTGACTTCTAGCGAAATATTGAGATTTCAAATGAAGGATTCGACGAAAATATTTGTATCAACATAGTTGAGAGGAAGTGATCACAAATGGAAGATGATGTCTGAATTATAACTCCAGTACATTTGAATCAATGATGAGAGGATTAGTTCTTGCAATTAGGCTTTATTGTAATATGCATGCCACCCCCCCCCCCCCCCCCCCCCCCCCCCCCCCCGCAAAACCATGAAAAACAAGACAAAGTACAAAGTGCGCCCTGCTGCGGTGTTGTATTCCGATTCACTCTCTTTAGA